AATGCACATAACATAACTAAAACTTGCACTCCCACAGGACTCCACTCCATAAAAGGAGGGCGCCAACTGCTGACATACGTTTCCAGGAGGAAGAGACTGAGTGGTTGCGACCACCGCATATGTACATGAGTATCTGGCCACTCCTCTCCTGGACATTTGAAGGAAATTGGGCCACACTTGCCTGCGTCCTGAGAGTATGGATGAGAGCCTCGAGTGCACAGGCTGGAAGGAAGAAAAGGAAGGGGGCTGCTCGGCGGGGTGGGGAGGCCGGCATCCATGTGGGGTGAAGTGCAGCGCCCCCCCCCCCCCGTCCATGACCCCTCACCCGGGATCGGTAAGGTGAGCCCTGTTGGTTCCCGGGCTGAATGGCGGTGGAACTGGACTGTGGTTTGTCCTCAGGGCATTAGGGAGCAGATGTTCACATTGTCCCCAGGGAGGGCTTTGTTTGACATCATCAGTTACTAGGGGTACTGTGGGAGACGTCACCCCAGTCCAGCAGAGATGGCTACTGCAGACACCGTAAGGTAGCCAATGCTGGCAAGCATGTGTCAAGAAGGGAATCTGTCCACACTGCAGGAGGCAAGTTAGGATAGTCACGAGAATCGGCGTGGCTTCCCCTCAGACAAAATAGATTAAAACAGACACTCGGTGCTTCGGAACAGCTATCCAACGTGATGAAAACATGACCCCTGGGTGTACCTCCAAATGAAGTGAAATTGGTGTGTTCAAGACACACATGTTCCCACGTTTGTTTTATGATTATTATTGTAGCATTGGGGCTGTGGAGAGGGCACAGAGCCCCCCCCCACACTAGTTGGTAAAAAAGTACTTTCTCTAAACTTCAAAATACTTGAACCATTTAAAATATCTAGATAAGAGGACTTGGTATGTTTTCCACAAAAACAAAAACAAAAAACCAAATCTTCATAGAGATATGTGAATTGCCTTTTTATTGTTCTCCAACGCATGTATCTAAGATATCACACCCTGCCAATAGCTATTTTATATCAATTAAAGTTAAAGCCCAAACGGAATAACCATATTATGTGTATTACAGGCAAAATTTGCAGAACCTGACTGTGGACTGATATTTGTTTCAAAGCCCTCTACTCTTTACACAAGATGGATTCTTATAGAGAACCTTACCTGGGATGGATTGCTATAGATTCCTGAGAGAGCACAGTGATATCATTTTTGTTTGTTTGTTTTTCTAATCCTGGAAATCTTTTCACCTTAGAAAATATTAGCTTTTGCTATTGTTTGTTATTCCCAAACCAAGACAGGTCTCAGTGCTAGGACCCCTGCAAAATAACAAGCACCTGTCTGTCATAGTCTGTCACGAAAGACTTTCTGTGACAATTAGCACTGTGCTCAGGAGGACCTAAATGGAACCGTAACATGTGTCTAATAAAACCAGGAGCTCTGTACACTCTGTGGTAACCACAGCCTACACTGCCAGAAAGGAAGGCTATTATGCCCACGGGCCCTTGGCACGCACTTGTAATCACAGCCCTGTGAACATTCGTTGTGTGGCTTGCAAAGCAGTTCACTTGCTGTGTTGGTGGACAGCGGAGACCTGATTTCACCGGGGAAGCTCAGGCTGGGCTGACGGGTGTTAAGTCTCCCCTAGTTACTAGTCCCTGCACTTCACCCCATGATGCCTTCCAGGGTACTGGGTGCCCTCCTTCAATCCCACAAGGCTCTGCTTAAGTCTTCCTGTTCACTAGGCTCTGCCTGCCGTGCTGGACAAGGTCAAGTGAGGACTGGTGGGTGGTGCTGCGTGCACGGAGCGCAAGCCCCAGCCCGGTGTGGCCAGCTGGAGCAGTGTGAAGGACAGCAGGAAATGCAGTCCTTGTCATCTGAGTGAAGGACACCACTAAGAATATTGTGTCTTCGATTGCTGTGTTTGCTTCTCCTCACTTTGCTTTAGTTCGTGCTCTGGTGTTCAAGTTCAAAGAGATGGCAATGAACGTCAAGGTTTCTGTCAAAGTATCTGTCTCCCACTACACCTACACTTCCGTGTTCTGCACACGCATCACGTGGACTGACCACATCACGTGACAGTATTTTCGATTTATCGAGCATCTGTTGGTCAGCCGTTTCGGGGGGTATGTAACTGTTTTTTTACACTTGATATCACTCCGTGAGGGTGGCCATCAGAGGACCACTTACCGGAGCCGAGTCTGTCCTTCCGCCAGGTGTGTTCTGGAGAGCAAAAGTCTGTCAGGCTTGGCAGTAAACGCCCTTTTCCACCCAGCCATCTTGCTGTCCCTGAATTTTGTCACCCATCATTTCAACCCCTCACAAAGTCTACATGGTCTAGCTCCTTCCTCAGATCTGCACATAAAAAGACTCAGTCTGGATTTTTCGGAGGTAGCGGGGGCAGGGCCAGCACTGCGATGCACTTCTACCTGGCTTCCAAGCCAAGCTTCTCTCCTTCGGAGAACACACCAGTAAGGACGGGTGTGCTGTGCGAACAAAGCTCAAAGCGTCATGACAAAACCCATTATTTTCTATGCTAATAAATTTTCGTTTTAGGGCAATTAAAATCCAGAGATGAAGCAATAGGGAAAAAAGAACGTTTACTGTACTAACTACGGAAAAAAGGAGAATTTAGTACAACCCAGCATTTGATCAGTCAGTGCTGTGCTTCTGTCCTTGGGTCTTAACAGGTGGGTTGGTGGCCTAAAGTGACAGAATTCACACTTGATCCAACTACGGCACTCCCCATTCCATGGCCCACATGGAGGCTGTTCCTGTCTGCTGCCTCCTCCGGCTGGCTAGCTTTCAAAGGCAAACAAAACCCGTATGATCACTGAAGTCTAGAAACGAACTTTTATTTTAAATTTGTCAAGAAGTCCTGACAGTTATTGATTTTATTAAAGTACAATTGTAAAATAAAAAGACTGAGTCTCTTTTCCTTCAATATAAATTATATGTCAGCCTGTCGGCTGCTGGCTCGGCATGGTTCAAAGTGCTTTTAAGCGACGGGGGAAGGGGGGCTCTGATTTCCAGACAATTAAAACAACAGCAAGAAAAGAAAAACAATAAATTAAAATGACTGTAATTGGAGGTGCTGCCCAGATATGCTAATTCTATATTTTTGATGTGTGTACAGGCCGGTTCTCCAAGCTTTGGTTCTTTAAAGAAATTATGTGGATAGTGTCCTGTCATTGGTTTGCATTCATAACACAGAACAAATTAGCTGATATTTTCCCTCCCAAAAGGTGGGAAATAAAAACATGACAATGTCAAATAAAATACAACCAGCATTCATTTGTCTAATTGCAACATGTTAAAACATGAACACTTTTATTAAAATATTTAATACCAGAATAACTTATAATAGTATGAAAAAGAGTGAAGTACTCGTCCTTGTTTACCGCTGCCCTGAGCACATCTGGGCAGGGCTGTTTCTGTAGCGACCCCCGCTTTGCATTCTGGATCTTGGAGTGTCAAGGGTGCAACAGAAGGATCTGGTACTTCACCCACTCATACAGTCGTCACTCCCGCCGCCCACACTGGCCTACCGTAACTGCAAACTGCCCTCAGGGAAACAAAGTAAAAATATACATACAAAATATGTTCATGTCAAGTTATCTCTGCTGCACAGGATAACCCCCGCCCCGTAGTAATGCTGTCACCCATGAAAAAGTGTCCTGTGATGGCCGTCAGGACAGTCACGTCCAGGCAGCGACCAGACCGACCTTTGGCTTTGAAAAGCATTTTGTAAAATAGAGAAAAAAGTCAGCATGTGCAACCTCGTGTCATTCACACTTGCAAAAATGCTTTCCAGTCTAAAAAAACAGATTACACATACGCAGAAAAATCCCCCTCCCCCCCAAACAGCCCAGTCTTTTCACTTTGTTGTTGAACATTTGCTCCGTTGTGTTGAGAGGGGTCTCCACATCTCTTGTGTCTCCTGTCTTCCCGAGCTGGGGAGGATGCTACTGCATGGCGGGAAGGAGACGCTTCCTCCCTGAGTGACTGCTTTCACTCAACGGTGGCATCATTTAGAGACAGAATGTTCTTTCTTTAACACAGGATTTCACTTCATTTTTGCTTGACTGCTCTAGTTGGCAAAAATCAGAAACATGAAGCTATGTTTCCATATGTTTTAAATTTTGAAATTCAATTTTCTGCATGTATATGTTTATCCACATACAGATACTCTCTTTCATTGTCTTCTTCTCACTGCAATACAAATTGTCCATCAGAATTGTGATTTGAAATGAACCAAATAAAAAGCTTTCAGGCACTCCATAGGAAAGCCAGCTTCCACCACAAAGGAACACTGAACTCAAACGCAAACAAGGTTATGTTTTAAAACTAAACTGTAGGCTTAGTTTTACATGGGGGGAAAATCAGTGATTTATATAAAACGGCTCTTTTAAAAACTTCAGCAAAGCCTCAGAATAAGAAAACTCCCCAACGAGTTGTGGAGGGCACTGGGATCCTTTCCAACAGCTCTTAATGTCTGATTACAATGTGCACATTGCAATGTTAAACTGCTTTGAAATTGTCCCTCTTAAATGTACATGTCACGTGGACCTTTCATTTTGGGCATGCTAACATATCTGATGTGCAAACAAAACCCACACATAAAATTCTCACCCTCACCCTGGAATGCACAAAAACAAAAAACAAAACAAACAAACAACAAACAAACAAAAAACGCAATTTCCAGTCCTGTAGGCATAAAGAGAAAACCAAACAGAAAAACAAAACAAAGAAAAGATGACTTCATCTGGGCTGGACAGATTTCCAACTTTTAACGTGTGAAGGACAGAATTTATTTCGAGGGCTCTGAGCAATTCTGGCTTCGGTTCTGGACCCGTTTGGAAGGATGCGGTCTAGCAAGTGGGCTGTTTGAGGCACAGCTCGGCTCTGTGCCCACGTTGGAGCTTATCTCGGGGAAGCAAGGCACTTACTGTAATGGAAATGCGGGCGCTTTCTGCATAGTTTCAGTAACATAAAATAAGTTAATATTTTTGATTAAAATGAATTTTTTTATAATTTATATGTCTTTTTATAGAAGCAACTGATATATTTAGGATAGCTGATCTCAGGGGGTTTAGATGGATGTCCCTTCACCCCTGTTTTGGCTCCTAGGATGAGGATTTAGGTACAAAAAAAAAAAAAATCTGACATGCTCAGCACTCCCTGGCCGCGCTCTAGAAGCGCTGGGCCAGCGGCAGCTTGACTGTCTTTACTTCTGCTATGTGGGAAGACTTCTGGATGATGCAGCTGGTGGTCCCAAGCACTTCGTCCTTCCCCTGGGCGAGGTTGGTTAAGGCCATGGCTGCGTTGATCTCCTTCCAGTACGTCTCGTCCTTGCTCGGCCCCCGTCCGTGAGCTGCACTGCACGTGTGCGAAAGAGAAGAGAAAGGATCAAGCCCACCGCGGTGTGCAGGGAGACAGCACCACACAACGCGCCAACGGCCAACGAAATTCACTGTGCTCACCTGGCACCTTTACTAGATCCCGTGTCCAGGGTGTCTGTGGAGAGAAGCAAACATTCGGTCACTGGTCTCCTGGACTTTTTCCTTTCAAGATTTACTGTATTCTCTCTCTTTCTGCCTGTGTGTGTGTGTGTGTGTGTGTGTGTGTGAGAGAGAGAGAGAGAGAGAGAGAGAGAGAGAGAGAGAGAGAGAGAGACATGTATGCAGTGCCCTCGGAGGCCAGAAGAGGGCATCAGATCCTCTGCGGGGGAAGGGAGGGGGAGTTACAGGCAGCTGCAGGTGTTCTGAACCACAGGCAGGTCCTCTGGAAGAGCAGAAGCTGCTCTGGAGCACTGAACCAGTCCTGTTTAATCTTTGAAATCCCTTCCTTAGTTGCCAAGAATAAAATCTTATCTGGAAAGGTGGTTGAAAATTATTATTTTTTTTTATGGTGATACCACAAGTTATTGAGGTGAGAAAGATTTAGTTGCTGTGGGAGGTTGAGCCTTCTCAGGGAAGGCTGTACAGGAAGGCAGAGAGACGACCCTGGCCAGTCCATCGATGTTCTTGCTCATTTCTCACCTGCTGGAGACCATCAGCACATCGCCGTGCCCACAGGTAGATTTATTTTCCTCAACTCTAGAACAAGCCCTTTCCCTGGAAGCTTTGAGAGGCTCCCCCAACCTTACTACTCTACAGTTTTCTGTGATTCAAGCCTGAGGCGTGAGACTGAGAAGCCGGTTAGTCAATACACGAGGAAGAGACCTAATCCTGACGGTAGCGTGGAGCTCCTGGCACATCAGAAGAGACAACCCTCCTGGCCCTGCTGTCAGAGAAAGGAGGGAGAAGGCCGGCTTATGCCCGCACCCCCTCCCCCAGCGCACATTTGCTAATTCTCTCAAATCACTAACCTCTTCCAGCACCAGAAAAACATAATGAAGACTGAACCGGGGGGTTCTGGCCATTGAGTCACTCCTTTGGCCAAAGGAACATGGTCTGTGCAGCACAAACACTGGCTCTTCAGGGGATAAAAATGTGCAGGGTCTCCCCTCGGCAGAGTCTGGACCTGGGTCGTGGATAAGCCTTGGCCACCACCATCACCGTCATCATCACCACCAACAGCAGCAGCAGACAACAGCCAGCATCTACTTGATGCTTCCCAGGACAGAAAGGACACAGAAAATGCCTCAGGCCTTCCCTGTGCCTTTTCTTCTTCTTCTTCTTCACTATTTCTCTGGGCTTTTGGTTTATTCTGTTGTGCTCAAGGTTTTCCGGGCAGTGCCGTCTAATGCCCAATTCAGAGCTCCAACAGCCAGAGCCCAGGAGAGCTCAGAGGGAAGAAGAGGGCCATGTGCTTACGATGTAGTCTAACCCGGGCAACAGCTGCCAGGGTGAAGAAGAAGGCGGAGAGACAGCAACTGCATGGCTGTAAAACATGGCCAAATTCAATGTCCTCTGTACAGACAGAGAATCGAGAAGCCTGCCAACAGTGCCGGTCTCTCGACAGGAATAGCCTGCTATGAACGATTTTCAATCCGAGGAGCCAGGGAACTTGAAGACAAAAAAGCAAGAAATCAAAATAAGTCCCTAGTAAGGGCACTCCAAGGGGGCTGTGACTCATACGCAGGTGCCCTGCCTAACCCAGGCCGGCGAAGGTTAACCCCCCATTTTCCTTTCACTGCACATTCAGGTGGCATTCAGTAGGGCTCAGAGGAAATGCTTGGGTCTGGAGTGCCATCAGCCCGAAATCTTCTGATTTCTGCTGCCTGGGCCTGGACAGCCCAAGCCCTACCCTGCTGTGCTGGATGATTTTGGGTTGGAAGTCACTCATGTACCCGGGATAAAAGAGCAGGAATTTTTAGCCCACAGAGCTCCAACAATGCTGATTTATAGATGATTTTCTATGGGTCAAGTCTCTTCAGTAATGCTTCTTAAAATAAAAAACAATCACGTTTATTTATTAACGGGATGTATGTGTGAGCCACATGTATGGAGGTTAGAGAGCAGGAATTTGTTCTTCCCTTCACCACTCAAGTCCCAGGGTCTAAGCCACCTCGCCGGGCAAGGCAACAGGTATCTTTAGATACTGAGGCTTCTCAGAGTCTTCAGTTTGATGTGTTCAGCTCTGTGACTTTACACAGGGTTGCCTGCCTCTTTGATGTCTACAAAGTCTCCCGTTATCTGTTCTAACTCAGTAGTGACAGGTACAAGATGCTACCAGAACAGAGAACAAGTCAAGGCCTTTAGGAGGGGAAGCTGACAACACTGGACATTTTACAAGAGCGGAGGGAGGGGAGAGGGGAGAGAGACAGAGACAGAAAATTAATAATTTAGTCTTTGCTCATCCCCCCCCCCCCCCCACAACTGTTGCCAAAAGTGAAGCAATAGGTTAGGGACGTTTAGTCAGTGGAAAGGTTTGTCAGAAGCAGAACATGTTCCGTGAGGAACATTGGGGAAGAAAACTGAATTCAGAAAAGACCATGTTCTGGTGCTCCGGTTCAAGGCTGAGCCAGCTCCCCCTGACGAAGGCACCAGACTGTGGCCCTCGACCTGACAAGTCAGCTGATGGTGACTGTGGCCAAGCAGGAGGTTTGTGGCTGCCCCACATGTCATGTGATGCCACCTGCATGCAGGGGAAGACAGGGTTCTCGAAGGTGAGGAGGAAGTCTAAAGCTCCAAAGCCCCAGCGTGGCTGGACGCTGCCACGTACGGTGTGGCTGGTCCCCTGAAGTCAAGCCCCTGAGAGAGGAGACTCCTGTAGCAGGCTGTGAAGTGGTGAAATTCTGCTTATGTAGAAATGAACATGCTTTATACTACGGCTGCCTATGAAAGCATCTCTGCTGTGACAAAGGCCACTCAGATCCTTGTTTGGGTGTTCTGTTTCACAAATCTGTCTTCATCTCTCTCTTTCCATCTCTCATTCACACACACACACACACACACACACACACACACACACACACACAC